CGCGGCCCGGCCCTGCGCGGCGCGTGCCCGCAATGGGCGCGGTGGCTCCGCGGGGCCGCCGCGCCGCACCGGGCTCGCGTTTCGGAGCAGGGCTTCGCTGCCGCGCCTGGAAATGCGCTGGGAAGCCCTGGGCGAGTTGGGAATGAGAAGTTCAGGGAGGTGGAGGGCAGCAGGGAGTAGCCTGTTAAAAAGTTTGAGGCGCCGGTGAAAAAATGGTGTGTGTGTATATATATATATATATAAAGTGTGCCTATATATATAGGTTACTTACAGCTTATATATGTATATAGCTTATATGCTTATAGCTTACTCTTAATTTGCACACCTTGAACAGAAAATGCGGATGGGAAAGGAAGCAGGAGTGCGAAGGTGCACGTTTAATGCCTTTTCTTGAGCAGCTTGGGAGCGGATAGTGCACTTTAATGTTAACACGAGTTCTATTGTATCAGCTTAGCAACTTCAACTCTATTACAGAATGATTTAAGCTTATTCTATAGCTAATCTTGACATGCTTGAGACATATTTTTAGCCCGTCGGGCTAATTGACTAAACATGTTGAAGTATGTGGGGGTTTATGTGCGTATTAAGTGATGGAGAAAAGGCTGTAGGCTGAAACATCAAGTAAGTGCAGGCCAAGCAAAGCAAAATAAACCTGTCTTAAGAGTTAAGTGTGTTAGAGTGAGGTGCTGTGGGGGAGTAAATGCAGAGTGTGGGCTCTTATGTCACACGTCAGCTCTTTGCGTAACGTTTTTCTTCTTGGCCTCAATGTAGGTGACAACCCAAGGCTTTTGCATAGGAGTGAAACTCCCTTGTAAGGGGGAAAACACACTCTCTTATTCATGTTTATGACAGCAGTTTCTTATAGACTTGCTTAATTTCTGCTAGGCACTGCACAGAAACTGCAGCAGCAAGTCCTTGATAGCAGTATTTTGTAGTTGAGAGCAGTGAGATAAGCAGAGTGGAGGAATAGGATGGGTGCTCAAAACTCATTTTCCAGTGGAAAAAAAAAAGCCTGACTGGTGTAAAGTAAGATCTGATGTCACAGATAGGCTGGCTTTGTTATGCCCATGATTCAGACAGCCGTCCAACCTGCTTCGGTTGTCATAGCTACGTGTTGTTTGAGAGTTTAATTAACGTTTCCCATTTTGAGCATGTTAGAGTATGTTTTCAGAGACTATGTAAACACAGACCTTGGGCAGCTGTTTTACTGGGTACTTGGATGATTAAAGTTATTCTTAACTGCTTGCATTTTGTTACTAGGAATTATAAGAGAGGAAATATATACATTTATGTATACACACACATATATACACATTCTGTTTACACACAAACCCTGACTTTGAGGGTCTTAGACATTTTGCTTTATGAGGCTTCATTATACTTGAATTTGCAAAGCCTAACATCCACTCATCGAATATTTATGGTGAATTAAGCATTATTTAAAAACCACAGTGCTCCTCCTCCTAATTGTTTTTTGGTCTGCAAGTGAAATTTTAATGCTTTTTTGTTTATTTTTAACCCCTACAAATCCACAAGTGCCTTGGGACTTTCCTTGAGAGGTTCAGGGATTCGTTCCCCCAGTCAGATCTGGTGATTAGCATCTTTTTGAGACACAATGCAAAGCCTTTGGGAAGAGTGGCTCCAAGGCAGAACCAAGTTTCTAGTACTAGTGTTTTCTTGCGCTATTACTTGTCTTTGTTTTGGAGGGAACTTGTTGTCATGCTGGGTTGTCTTGTCTAGACTGGCTCTCTGCCCTTTCTGGTCTTGAAAAATCCCCTAATTATTAAGTGGTGCAAGTGAGGATCAATTTAAAACGTGAGAAGATACCTAACTAAATAGAGCGTACCTGTGTCTGCCTGGTCCCTCCCACCTGCCAAAGAGGCTTGTTGCAAATGCTAAAATACCATCGCTCAATTCCTTGGAGCAAATGGTTTTTCTTCTGCTGCTCCAGCAGAGTCAGGAAAGCAAAGAAATGAATGTACTTTCCTGCAAACAGGCTCAGAGAATACGCGTTCTTGCACGGAAATTAATGCTCAAGTCAAGTCACATCAGCCACAAACTTCCTGTGTAGCTTTGAGCAAGGGATGTAGAGTCCTGTGCCTGCAAAACCAGGTTGGGTTTCTTTGGGGGGGGAGGGAGGATGTGTGTTTTAATGCTTTGAAAAAGGAGTTGGTGCAACCTTAGGAGTGACAGGGTGATGCCGAAACAGGGATTCACTTCCTGATTGTAAGTGTGAAAGTGTTCGGGGAGCAAGCCTATATCTAAAGAGAAAGGTTTTTGCATAAATCTGTTGTCCTATCCATGTATTTTTGTTTTCAGGAGAAAAGACCCATAGTTTACTCTTTTTTCCTTTTTTTTTTTTTTTTCTCATTTCCAGTAACAGCACCAGTTAGTTGACATTCCATTTTGTCTCTGTCATTTTTTTTTTTTTTAAGAATTTTAGAAGATTGCTGAATAAAATCACTTCCAAAAACCCAGCCCCCGGACAGAGTAGTGATCGAAACACTGAAGAGTGCCGTATGGCTCCTACGAGCCTTGGTGCTCTTATAGGTCTGAGGAGTATATTCCCTGTTATTAATGATACTCTATTTTACACTGTATGGGAGGGGAAATATTTGCTGAGCTTATTATGAAATCTGTTATGAAATATGCTTTTCCTAGAATTCTTCGTCCAGATGAGATTAAAAATATAACAATTTTTAATATACTCAACCTTCATACATCTTGGGAAACCGAAGCCCTTTTCCAACAGGAAAGGGAAGTAGAAGTTAAAAAAAAAAAAAAAAAAAAAAAAAAAAAGTGTAAGGTTCCAGCTCTCTTGATGGATGCTGATTTTTAGAAGTATTAGTTGTGTGTACATTGGGTGGCATGAAACATGTGGATTTCACAATCCCTTTTATTACCCTTCCAGTGGTTTGCTGTTGAAATAAAATCTGGCTTATAATTAAATAATTTAAATGAGCTGGCAATCTCGATGCATGACTGCTTTAAAATAATTATGCTTGCAGTGGAGCTACAAGAGGCTGAAGCTTCATTGAAGCATTGCTTGTGAGAATAGCAAGGGCGCAGCTGCAAAATATACTCCCTTTTCTGGAGGTATGTTCCGTACCTACGACTTCAGTGCTCTCCTGGAATACTACTAAAATGTCACATCCAAGTCTTTGTCCTTGCAAAGTTCTTGCGTGTCCTTAGCAGCAATCCAAACAGCAGAGGGGTGACAGAACGCAAACATGTTGAATGCTCAGTCTGCAATGAATGTAAGCTGATTTTCCTAGGTTAAATTTACAGATACGAGCATGGCAAAGAATAGTTGCCTAACAAAATGGTTTTAAGCTGGTTGTCCATTGGTAGAGCTTTGTTTTAGTCCTGGTTTGTGCAAATGGCTTGTTGCTTGCAAATGTGAAAGCAGCTGTGTGAAATCAGAGTCTCAGCAGGGGTGGCTTTGGGTGTGTTTTCAAGGGCAGCTCGTCAGTTTTGCCACCTTTTATTTCTCTGCAGGCCCAGTGCAAGTGCACAGACTAGCGCATTCCCTCCCCTTAGCCCCCTTTCCTGAATTTCAGAATTTGACTTGAAAGGATCATTATAGGGCCTTTATTTAATTTCTGTCTTTGTGTTTCTTTGTTGTCAGGTCTTGGATGCCTTCGAGGCACCCTTTTATTTTTTAAAATTTAATTTAATTTTTGAGAATCATATTTCAAGAGGAGATTGCTTAATCCTCAGCCTTCAGATAGTAATTTTGCTAATATTTTGCTCGTTAACAAAGTGGGATATGTATTTGGTAGCATAGTGTAATTATGGAATCATGGCTTTCCTGTCCTTTGGTATTGCTCTGCTCCTGTGGGAATACAGGACGTAGAACAGTACTGGAGGAGAAAAGACAACTCAAAAGAAAAGACTTGCAAATGGTACCACTTAATGGCCCCTGTAACTTTGAATATACACATTTTCCCTGTCTTGGACACAAAAGGTGCCATGTTAAGGCTGCTGATGGAAGAACAGCCTTGATCATAAAATCTGTTTTTTCTTGAACCTACTGTGTCCCCCCTGTCCAGGCAAATGGCCTTCCCTGCCCTGATGCTGATGCTGTGTTTATTGCTTAGGGCAGTAAACCATTGGTTGTGCTTGTCCCTGACGACTAGCATTGCACGTCTGTCCACGTGTGTCACCTCACCATGGTCTCTTTCCCTTGTTCCATTTGGTAGCAGCAGTTTCTCAGTGCACACAAAATATTGGATGTCTGCGGTAAAGCCATGGCAGCTGATGATAAAGTTGCCATTTTAACAGACGACGAAGAGGAACAGAAGAGGAAGTATGTGCTTGCTGATCCCTTCAATGGCATTGCCAAGGATGCAGACCTGCAGCCCCAGAATGAATCCCCTTCGACAGAGACAACCACTGTCCCGGATGAAGAGCTGGACTGGCTAGAAAAGCACTGTGTCAAAATAAACAACGATCTTCTGATCTCAAAGGTCTTCTATTTTTTCTTCTATTCTGCATATGGCTCTCTCTACCCGCTGCTGCCCGTGTATTACAAGCAGCTGGGCATGTCACCCAGCCAGAGCGGACTTCTGGTGGGCATTAGGTACTTCATTGAGTTCTGCAGTGCCCCATTCTGGGGGGTGGTGGCAGATCGCTTTAGGAAAGGGAAGATCGTCCTTCTCTTTTCACTGCTATGCTGGGTTTTGTTTAACCTGGGGATTGGATTTGTTCGACCAGCCACCTTACGGTGCCTACCAAAGGGCCTTCCCCCAGCGCATCCTACCAATGCAAGCAGCCATTTAACAACAGTTCTGCAAAATGCATCACTTTCTTCCCTGCTTGTCACAGCAAATATCACATCCCAGAAAGTCCGTGGGAGGAGAGATCTCTTCACCTCCAACCCAGTCACTTTGGAAACAACAGGGACAGCTCGGCCTGAAATCACATTCCTGTTACCTACTCAAAGCACCAACATGGATTTTGCCTTGGAAAACAGCACCCATTTCATGTCAAAAAACACGACCACTAGCCCAGTCTCACCAGGAAATATGTCTCAGAGAAGCACTCCAGCTGCCAGCACCACAAAGCCGATGCCGTCAGACCAAGCTGTGCTTGTCTATGATCATCAAGAAGTAGAAGCCATCTTCCTCCTCATTCTTCTGGTTGTCATCATAGGAGAGTTTTTCAGTGCTTCCTCCGTTACTATCGTGGACACGGTAACTCTGCAATACCTCGGCAAACACAGGGACCGCTATGGGCTGCAGCGTATGTGGGGTTCTCTGGGCTGGGGGCTGGCCATGCTCTCTGTGGGCATTGGCATTGACTATACCCATAGCGAAGTGGCCATTGAAGGGCAAGGATGCAAAGCCCCCGAGTACAAGAACTACAGGATTGTCTTCATAGTTTTTGGCGTTCTGATGACAATGGCATTAATTGTGGCCACCCAGTTCCGATTTCATTATGTGCACTTCAAGCAAGATGAAAATAAGAGAAAAGAAGTAGAGATATCGCAGGTGGACAGAAACACCTCCAACGAGTCCTCTGATAACACCCCCACTAGCGTGAGCCAGTCGCAGTCTTTCAGTTTTTGGGATCTGATAAAGCTGCTGTGTAGTATCCAGTACAGCTCTGTGCTCTTTGTGGCTTGGTTCATGGGATTTGGATATGGCTTCGTGTTCACCTTCCTTTACTGGCACCTGGAAGACCTGAATGGCACGACCACTCTCTTCGGAGTTTGTTCTGTGCTTAGCCACGTGTCTGAGCTCACTGCCTACTTCTTCAGTCACAAGCTGATCGAATTGGTTGGTCATATCAGGTAAGGAGAAGTTCACAGTTGTTAAATAGTGATGCAAAAAAACGTTCAGGGTTTGGCCTAGCCTTGTGTTACAACATGAAATTCAAATTAATCTATTTTAAGGATTTCCTTTTGGTTTTGAAATTCCACTGAAAAGTTTCCCTAGCATTTTAGTTACATGTTAGCACACATGTTTTGCTGGCAATGTGACCTTCCGTAAATGGTTCCAAAAGACATCCTAGTTCCCTGATCTCCTAGGGATCTTTTTAAACTGCCTCCTGATCAAGGATCGTTTGTTTTGAAATATCATTTCAATTAATTGCCTAGCTTTGTTTTTCCTGTGAGTAGCAGTGTTCTGGAAGCCTCCTACTTAGCTACTCCTCCTAGCCAGTGCTTGCTTGCTCCGTGCTCAGTTGGGAAGGTGTCCCTGCTGCAGGTGCCCTGGTGATCAGGCTCCAGGTGCTACAGCCTGGTAGAGCTGCTTATGGGCTCAGTCCCTTGCTCTGGGCTGCTAGTTGCAACACTGTGCTACCTACTTCAATGAAATGTCTGTGCAGTTCTTGTTCTTTTTCCCTTGATAAGTGGGACCGATTACTTAACCGGACCACAGAGCTCTAATTAAACTCCAAGCTGTTCTTCGTCTATACCCTGGAGGGAGAGGCAGGGGAAGGAGCCGGGTGTCTCAGTGGCCGTGGGGTGATGATGGAGGAGGAGAGCTCTGTCCCAGTGCCTGTCTGGATGTTGCCGTGAATGGCTAAGCTGGAAAGAAGGTTCTTGCTGGATAGTTGAGCTTTTTGCTTGACAAAAGTGAAATTAAGCTGACAGGAGTCCACAAAAGTCCTGAGCAAAAGGCTGGGTGCATCTGAGTGCAGATGTGGGAAAACAGGTCGATGGTGATGTGCTTGCCTGACCTCTCCAACTACGTTAGGTCTTTGTCTCGTCCTCGGGTTTCCTTCTCTCTTCTGGGCAGTGTTGTAACACGGGTCAGAAGGATTGCATTAAGCTTGGCTGTAAAAGGAGCCAGGTTACTTGTTTGGAATAGTAGTCACTAAAGAGGAGGATAAGACTTGGAATGAATGGGATGCAGATGAAGTTTGGTCTCCCTGTCATATAATAGCCCACCTTTTAATGACTTCCCTTATTTCCTCTTTGACGTGCTGCATAAAGGCAGCCTGCTCCAGCTATTTTCCCTTGGTAGATGGGACCGATTACTTAACATTACTGATGCATATTTTTTTTCTCTAAATTCAGAAGTGATTTGATATAATTTCTGCATGTCTTATGCCCATTCACTATTCAAAAAAATCCAGGGAGGGAAGACATAGGGTGATCTCAGTTAATGTAATTATAAAGGTTTTCTATATTGGTTCAGGCACAGCGCGCATGTGAGCGCAGAACTCCCTGTGCTCTTAGCCTTTTCCACATACCCCGGTTACAATCACACAGTCATTTACATACCAGCCTGTTTCCAGCCACCCCATCACACTGTTCTTTTTCTGGGCCTTTTCTGTGTGTTTGCTTATGGGACTTTCATTTTGCTTTTTATTTGGATGAATCTTTTGATTTATTTGACTTCTGCTAAAAATATGTTTGAGATGCTTTGCACAGTAGTTGGAGATCACCAAAGAGATAGTGGATTTGTATTTTTGTTTTATTTTTAATAAGTAAGAGTGGTCTTTCTACTTTGAGCCTGTCTTTTATTTTTAGTCTTTGGATTTAACAAGAATTAATTTGCAAACATATGATGCTTTGCATGCAAAGACTGGAGGAAGGGTCTGATGATGGAGGAGTGCTGAGAACAGATCGTAATCTTGATAGCTGAAGATATAGGGTATCTGTATCTTTTTTTCAGTGTGTATTGTTACAGTACAGCATTCGGGTTAGACCTCAAAGAGAGGAAAAGAATGGAAGAAAAATAGGCTCATGAGTAAGTTGAAATAAGTGTTTTTTTTTTTTTCCCCTCCTCTTTTTTGGTTTGGCAAACCTATAAATCCCAGATTGGATCAATGTAAGTTGGTAAAACACTATCTCCTGTTTGCAATGAAATATGCTTTATAGATATACCTGGAAATGCAGATTAGTTATATCTTAATGTTTTCTAGTGCTTATTCATGTTTAGTCATTGAAGTTGATGAGCAGTCACCTCCTGGTTGCCCTTCTCCAGCTTTTTGAACTTTGTTATATAAAGTAGGGCTTGTTCAAGAAAAGGCAAACTAAAAAATAGAAATATCATGTACAGGAGTTCGGGGTTTGTACTCTGCTGGCTCCAGAATCCCAGAATGGTGGAGGTTGAAGGGGACCTTTAAAGACCATCCAGCCCAACCAGCCTGCCCAAGCTGGCTCACCTAGAGCACGGGACACAGTTGCACATAGTTCCGTGTCCGTCTCCCTGTTACGGATATTCTTTCTCCCATCAGTGAGAACTGGTGGTCTGCAGGTACATATCTTTACCCAAGGTTGCTAGACTCCCGTAAGTAGACGCTCAATCTTTCCTTCTTAGATTGTATAGATTTTGCATGTAAATATAGACTAAATAATTCAGAAGTGAGTCATGAGAAGGTGTAGTGAAGGCCACAAGTTCTTTGAGAGGATATGGTGATGCAGATGTAAAAAAAAAAAAAAAAAAAAAAAAAAAAAACCCACCAAACTGCTATTGAATGTTGTGGTACCATGGAAATGGTGTCTTGTGTAGAAGCAGTCATAGTTGCCCTTGAATTTAGGCATATGTTGTTCATCTCTGAAAATAACCTTCTGCTTGTGGTTAAACTTGAATGTGTCTGACCCTAATTTCAGCATGTGAGCTTTTGTGGGAAGCAGAGACTGCTGGTTGTGCCTGTAAACAGCTTCGTCTTCATAAAATAAATAATAGATTCAGTGCTTTAAGTGTTTAACCTGCAAATTGAATGTGGGATCTCTGTGGATACTGCAGATAGTGTTCATAAGGAACATCTGTGTACATTATCTATTTAGGTCTGATAAAGAGCCGAAGTGGTTGCTATAAATAGGTTTTTGAAATATTCTGTAAATATACCAAGTTTTCACGTGCTGCACCCCTCCAAAAGCGTAATTATAGAAATCGCCTCATGAATAACTTAGACTATGTATGTAATTTTGCATATTTTTATTAAATTAAAAGGTAAAACCGGACCAAATAGCTCTAATTATAAACTCCAAGCTGTTCTTCATCTATACCCTGGAGGGAGAGGCAGGGGAAGGAGCCGGGTGTCTCAGTGGCCGTGGGGTGATGATGGAGGAGGAGAGCTCTGTCCCAGTGCCTGTCTGGATGTTGCCGTGAATGGCTAAGCTGGAAAGAAGGTTCTTGCTGGATAGTTGAGCTTTTTGCTTGACAAAAGTGAAATTAAGCTGACAGGAGTCCACAAAAGTCCTGAACAAAAGGCTGGGTGCATCTGAGTGCAGATGTGGGAAAACAGGTCGATGGTGATGTGCTTGCCTGACCTCTCCAACTACGTTAGGTCTTTGGCTCGTCCTCGGGTTTCCTTCTCTCTTCTGGGCAGTGTTGTAACACGGGTCAGAAGGATTGCATTAAGCTTGGCTGTAAAAGGAGCCAGGTTACTTGTTTGGAATAGTAGTCACTAAAGAGGAGGATAAGACTTGGAATGAATGGGATGCAGATGAAGTTTGGTCTCTCTCTCATATAATAGCCCACCTTTTAATGGCTTCCCTTGTTTCCTCCTTGGCGTGCTGTGTAAAGGCAGCCTGCTCCAGCTGGTGATGGAGCTCACATGCATCTGGGCACAACGTAGCTTGGCCTGATGTGGGGTTTTGGGGAAAAGCAACTTCCTGTCAAAATTACTTTTTTTTTGTATATTTTTCTTGCGCCAAATTAGGGCTTAACAAAAAACACTAGAGTCCTCTATTTGAGCAATAAATCGCCCCTGTTTTTGAAAACCTTTGAAGGTTGCAATGGCCTCTGTTCTCAAGCCAAAAATATACTTGAAATGATGTCTGTGTTTCCTAAAGTCCACCTCAAAGTAAGAGACAGCTGGATGAGTAACATGTCAAATATTAAGGTAAATTAAGCTAAATCTGAAAACTGAAGGGAAAACGTCACCCAGTGCAATGGGAAATGCCCTGTGAAAATCTTTTTTGTTCTTCATTGTTGAAAAATTGTATCAGAGCTTTTCTCTCTTGCTTCTGAGATGTAGCATCTGCTGCTTTTCAACAGGCTGATGAAGTTTTATCCTGAGGCATGTTGCTTTAAACCAGACTGTTTCTGTGGGATGTGTTGCAGAGTAGTTCTGAGCAGTTTGCAGATACTGGGAAGATGCTCTCATATTGATCAGGATAAAATTAATTTGTGTACTAGAAACCTCCATATTAAAATGGAAAAATTGACAGTTGGATGCTTAGAAAAGAGGAACAATTTTTGAATGTGTTAAGAATGAAACTATAAAAGTTCAGTGGATCTGTTTGGCCCCTTTGATTTTTTTCCAGTAAGACTTTGAAGTGTTGTTTAACATTACTCGTTTTGAATATTATGTGCATTTGTCATAGACAAGAGGAGAGTTTATGTTTGCATGTGAGTTTTAAAGGGAACATTTTTATTTGTTGAGCAAATGCTTCAGGCAAGCAAACTGTACCCGTGCAAATGATTTCCAAAGCAGCAGGGCATATTATAACAGACCTAACAAGGAAAGGGCAAACCCTTATGATAGCTATTTTCCTTCCTTCCTCAGAGTGCTCTATATTGGCCTGGCCTGCAATACAGCTCGCTACATTTACATCTCATATCTGGAAAATGCCTGGACTGTTCTCCCTATGGAAGTACTTCAAGGTAAGGCAGTACACTGCAGTACACTAATGGCCTTCCTGTTTAAGATCATATGCTTTCATATATATATATATATATATATCTTGTTTTCAGCTGAACTGTGATTAAGTAGCAGTCTGCTCTTTCTCCCTTCAACCACAAATATCTCCAAAAACCCAGTTTCCTGAGACATTATTGTTTATCTCAGAAAATATTTGACGTCAAAAGGGCGAGTTAGCATTTGATTGCATTCAGTTCCCTGTTGATTGAAACAGAACCATGAAAGACTAGCACGCCCTTTAACTAAACAAAGAGACAGAAACACGAACTGAGGACACACCTTCTGCAAATCCTGTTTGCTGGATAAATATGAACTTCATTAAAGCAAAAGGTCACGGTACTTGAAGGGATGCTTTAAAAACAAAAAGGGACGAAGAACATAGTTTGGGTCATCTTGCCTCTGTTAAAATATTTTGCAGCTGGTTTGCAGTGGTATTCTACGTGCAACGTAGTATGCAACGTTAGAATATTTTGTTTTCATAATATTTTGCAGCTGGTTTGCAGTGGTATTGATTGCTTTATACGTTAGAATATTTTGTTTTCATAGCTGTAGAGGAATTTCTCTTAAAAGCTTTGTCAGTTCTAGCAGAGTGTCTTTAAGTTAACAGCCCTGTGCATGACTGAAGGGCAAAGATGTGGTTTATGCGAAGTCACTGGACTCCTGCTCTCACATTGTGCTGTCAAAGAAGATTGACCTGTTAATGTATAAATTGTTCTTACAATTTATGTCAGCTTTATTCCCCCTTCGTGGTGTGTTTCACTACCCAACCAGATGCAAAAAAATCTAAGCATCTTTCTTCTTCTCTCCTCCTTTCTTTCTTCAGTGTTGGACAATAGTGAATCTGGATTTGGAGGCTTGAAAGAGAAGGGTTTGTTTAAATGCGTAAAATGTTTTCTCTGCCTTTAAAATTAACGGAGCCATCTTTCCTAAAGCCAGTATCTTGGCTTTATAAAATACTGCAGAGAAAGTTCTCTACAGCTTGTCCTTAGAGGCTTTAAATTTTCTTTGTGCAGCATAATTTGAATTTAAACCAACTTTTTCTATTACATTTACAGAAATCTTTGTAAGGTGGATTTCCACTTGAGTTATAAAATGCCATTTGAGAGCACTCTGCTGATCTCTAAATATAGGTAGAAAGAAATCCATCTGTCCTGGCTCCTTTGCTCCTTACCAACAGAAATGGTTTGTGTTTTTATCTATTGTCACAGCAAGCTTCTGACTTTTTATCAAGAAAGAAACGATATAAAACCACCACTATCAATATCAAACTGATATTTCATCTCTCATGCCAAGTGTTGAAAAGAAAGTAGGACAAAGAACTTGAAGAAAGTATGTGTTATGAATACTCTTGCCTGCTTAAACATCTAGGGAGGGTATATATGGCATTGCAAGTAATTCTACTTTAATCATATCCAGACTCAAAACACAGGGGAAGAAGCTTATGTCTCCACAACAGAGCCATAAATTTATCTCTTGCATCCTACAGTTACAGCTGAGAAGCAATTATCTTCCCCTTTGTATCTCCTATTTATTCTACTGAAATTTTATTGTGATTTTTTATTATATAGCTCTGCTTATGCAGAAATGCTATGAGGGGACTCTTTTAAGAGACTCTTTTGTGTGGTGTTATCTGGAGCAATTGAGCTTCAAGGAAAAAAAAACATGGAATTGCTAAATAATACTTTCTCATAAATCATTCTACTAAAGTGTATCTGTCTAGCCTTGCTGACACATTTACACTTTACAATCTTGTTTAAAAATATATATAAAAAAATGCAGTCGTGTATAGTCAGCAAACCAGAATAATAATAAAAATTTAAAAGGAAAAAAGGAAGGCACCACAGCAAACAATAAAATCCCTCCGCATGTTTTATATGCACTTTTGAGCCTGCATCTTATCTGTGGTTGCTGTTAGAGGACCTCACATTCCTGGGCATGTAGATGTCACTAACTGCTGCCACCGTGTTTGTAACGTCCCAGTAGCAGCGTTCATTGGGAGCATGGGGTCTCCTTTCCAGAAGCTCTTTGGGGGTCTTTTGTCCATTCGTTCCCCTTCCTCTCTTGCTTCTATTCATTTTCTCCAATATTGTTTTATTATTATTATTAGTTCTTTTGCAGCAATTAGCAAATTTCAATTCTCTGAGCCCAAGGGAAGTGAGCACTGCATGGCCTGCTTGGTGAAGCCTGTATTGTAGCTGAACGTAATCCTCTTCCTAGGAAGCTCCCACATCCTCAGCAAATTCCTGTGCCAGCAACTCATGGCTTGTAGGCTCAGCAACTCAGCTGGGTCTGGGAAGGACTTTTGGTTTTTTAATCTATTTCTGAATACAGGAATTGCTATCCCCGTGCTGGAGGGCACGGAGAGCTGTCTGGAAGATGACTGCAGACTGTGCCTGTCAAAGGCAGCTTGAACCACCCTGTATTTCAGCTGCTGTCAGCCTAAGCAGGGCTCTCAAGTGCTTTATGCTCTCAGAGGAGCAAATGAGGAGCTTTAAGCTCACTTCTTAGTCCTGACTCCATAGGATTTATATGTCTGTATTTATTTTGTGTGTGAAAACAGGGGCTTAGGTTGAAACTTGAATGACTGAAAGTTTCAAGGTATTTTTACAGGTACGTGTATGGTAAACACGTATATAAAATGTTGAATGTCATTACTCTCCGAACATGCAAGGAATGTTCATTTTGCAGTTGACTGCAATTATGTTTTAAAATAATTTTTTAAAATATCTTTTATTATACTAGCTATGTATGTCCAAATTCTGTGTTGCCAGAAAATTGAAGTAATTAAAGAAATGTAAGTAAATTAGGCCGCAGCTCTTGGCTGAAGTTTACTATTGTTTTTCTGAGCATAATACTAGGGTTGTCCCAAGCATTAGTGCTGTAGTCCAAGTGGCCAAGGAAGATTAGCAGTTATAGCAAGTAGTGGTAAAATATGTTTAATGGGAGCAATTTCTTTAAATTCAAACAAAGCATGATTAGCTGTAATGCAGACCGAATTTCTTGTAAGAGTTATTGTTAAAATCATTCCAGATTGTGTAAATAATCATCATAAAAATCCCATTAATAATATATGATTTTAAATGTCTGCATGTTCAGAGCCCAGTGCGATAAGCTCATTTTAAAGGGAATAAATTTTCTTTTCTAAAGAACAAAGAACACTGTGTCTTAGCTGATTCTCCTGCTGGAGGTAAAAACCCTACAAGAGCCTGTATATTAAGCACAGCCTTTTCCAACAAATACAGTAGTCTTATGCCTAATGGTTTGAGTAATTCCTGCCATGTTTTTTGTTTGCCTGACTTGAAAAATTTGATTTACTGGTCGATTCCTGGGAAGGCTGAGTGTTTTCCGGTACGAGCCGATGCTCACGGTGCTCTCCTTGGCTCTTCCCGAACACGGCGCCTGGGCTGCGCGAGCTCTGCCTTGCGGCTGCCGTGATGTTCGCTCCCCGTTTGCAGTGCATATGGGGATCTGCATTAACACAAAAACCAAGAGTAGAAAACATCCAAGGAGCTTTAAAACTCGGAGCTTTTTCAATGGAAAATCTCTATATTTTAAAGCCTTAAACCATAAATAGTAGGGTAAAATACACTGGGCCTGATGTGACTTTTTGTTTCTTTGTTTTTCCTTCCTATGAGATGATGTCCTATTAGTAAAAACAATTCCATTACCAAGCATTGGACAATTTTTATTGAGGCTTGGCATTAAGCTAAAGGGTACAGCCCTGTGGGCCTCAAATGTGCACCAGTTACATTGACTTCTTGTGTTATTTATTGTTTTTTTGCTAAGCAAAAGCCAAGTTATTCTGTGTGTTATAAAACAGCGTGCTGTCTTACCCTTATGAATCTTCAGCCTAACTGCGAAGTCATTATTACGTGTCCTAAAGTAGTTATTATGGTACCTATTATATGGCCGACTGCTTCAGTAAGTTTAAGAACAGAGGACCAGGGTGATTGGATCATCAGTTATGCCTTTGCCTTTTTTATTTTATTTTATTTTAAATTAGGCAGTAGAGCTTAAAATGTCTAGGCAATGGTAAAGTGTGAATACTATTTTAACTTGTGCTGAAAGGAGAATAAATATTCCCACTCAGTCTGAGGGTGGCAAAATAGTTCAGGCTTATTTACTGCATAACAAGCTCCAGAACTGCTGTTTTGTTTCTGCAGCATCTCCCTAAACGCTCCTTTTTCCGTCTGCTTTAGCTTGTCAGTGCTGTGCTCGGGAAGAGTTTGGGGTTGGGTGTCAGGGGAGGGAGAAGGGGAATTTTGAATTGGATATTTTGCTGATAGGTTGAATTTTTATGGGCTTTGTGCCTCCTTCCTTGTGGCAGAAGAGCCAGAGAGCTCTTGCTCTCACTTGTGCTCACTTCCCACTGTTTTGCCTTGCCAGGTGTGACCCACGCAGCCATCTGGGCCGCCTGTATTTCGTACCTGAGCGCGGCGGTGCCGCCGGAGCTGCGCACGTCGGCCCAGGGCATCCTGCAGGGGCTGCACTTGGGCCTGGGCAGAGGCTGCGGAGCCATGGTCGGCGGCGTTCTGGTCAACTACTTTGGTAAGAAAAAGATGTACTCAAGGACTTCAGTTGAATTTCTGCGTTTAGCAAACTGCTGACTTACACTATCCTAAGTGTAGCTAAGCTTTCTTACTCTTGCTTTTCAAACATAGCACTTGGTATAAATCTTGGAATCACAGGATCGTGTGGGTGGGAAGGGACTGGAGTTCTCCAGTCCAGACTCCTGATGGAAGTAGGATCAACACCGAATTCAGACCAGGTTGCTCATGACTTATGTCAGATGGATTAAACATGCTACATCTTGATAATCTTTGTATTTGTGTGAGCAAATCTATTAACTAATCCTTTGTGAGGGAATAGGTTGATGCTATATAGCCCCTTGATCAAGAAATGAGAATGAAATTATTGAGTTAAAATCCTATGCAAGACCTGTTAAGGAAAAGTGTTAGGAAGGAAGAAAATGCAATAAAACAACCTAACAAGAGTCTATATGGGATGAGAAATACCTGCAGAGTACATTAAGATGGCTTATCTTTATTTATTACTTTTTTTGTTAGGTAGAGTCTCAGTTTAATATATATAAGTATATATATTAAATAAAAATATATCTCTCTTCACAGGTCCTGCTGCGACATTCAGGGGAATAGGAATGGCTTGTTTAGTGATTCTTCTTCTGTTTGCACTGATCCAGTGGCTGTTGGTTCCTGATGAAGAAGAAGGTAAATATTTCTGTCACTGAGATACTGCAAAATTAAATATGATGGAAGTGGTATCTCCAGATGTCACTCCCTGCCACTTCAACCTGTTCTGTGTGGCATCTTTTCTCGATTTACCTTGTTTTCAGATGAGAGGCTTTTTCCTGACTAATGAACGAAATGGTGTTGCTACTGGAAAATGTGCAGCACTGAGTTCTTGGATTTTAACAGGAGTAAAGTTAATATAGTTCAGTGCTTTGGTGCCCTCTCAGGTGTGGCGTCTGGCAGCTGCAATGAGTGGCCACGCTTGCGTCAGCCTCGGCCAGCGTTCGTGCTCTGCCAGTCCCAGCCATCCCAGAAATCACACGAGGGGCTTTTATTAGTAGTGCAAAGGTTAAGCCCAAATGAAAACTTACTGCCAGGTTAAGAATTCAGCGTAAATCTAATTTTTACAAGCAAAGAAAAAATGGAATTGTTGTGTAATTGTGCAAAGTTGCATAAGCTTTTATCTCCCTTTCCCTTTCCCTTTCCCTTTCCCTTTCCCTTTCCCTTTCCCTTTCCCTTTCCCTCCCCAATTTTACTTTCTAATATGCTTGGCACTGAGTATGAAATGAAAGATCATTTTCTGGAGCTGGAGTATTAAATAAACGGTCCTTGAATAGTTATCAAGTTGCCTGTACTGAAGTATTTAAATATTTATTCTGCTAGAATGTTCTTCACCCCAGTTCAAATGATAATGGAGAGAAATGGAAAGGTGAACATTTTCCATTGCTATGCATAAACCTACAAAACCAGAGTTTGTTCCTTGTGCTCTAAATCTGTGGAGTTTGTTTCAGTCTTTGGTTTCCCCTTAAGATAAACTCAATACCCATCTTAAGAGAATGTATCTTAATTTTAAGTCTTGTAGTAATTAGGTTGATCTCAACAAGACTATTTGCATGAGTAAAGCTAAACATGAGCTTAAGTGTTTGCAGGATTAGTCTTTGTTCCTTACCTACTAGAGAACTTAGAGCCACTGCTCAAAACATGCACTGTGTGTAAACAAAATATGTCATATAAATTTGAAAATAAACATCTTTTTATGCAGTATTTTTACTCCAAAAAAAAGAATTCCTCAAATTTACAGTGTATGTACAGACTCGTAAACCACATGCAGCTTGTTACACAAAAAGTAATTAAACAGATGGTTGGAAACTTTTGGATATTTTAAGTATAAATGCCCTGGCTCCTCAGGACTGAGGGGCACACTGTGTTGGACTGTAGCAGTTATATTTGAGTAGTGTTCTGAGACAGTTGTGAAAACTGTTTCAGACCATCAGAAGACCAAAGATGTAAAAGAAGGAAATCTGTGGTATTATGTCTGCTTTCATCTAAGCCTCTGTGATAAACATTTTAATTTCGCAGTGTGTGTAGAAACTTTAAGGTCAGAAGCAGGTATGAGATGACGTAGGCCATAGGACTTCACTGAGCACTTCCGAATCGTGTTTAGCTGTGGCCGTGAGTTGTAAGATGCAGGGTTTATGCAGAGCAAGAAGTTTGCCACGGGAGTAAAATATTTAAGTTTACATTTACCGTGAAAATGACTTATTGTACATTTGTAGTAACATGAGAAGAAGCAAGCGTAGTAGGTAGCTGGGAACAAATGGGTCACTTGTTACTCATTAGCCCAAGGTACGTCCCCGCGGCCGCAGAGCTGCCCTGCTCGTAAGGAGCGTCACGCAGTGTTCCCCTAACGAGGCTCTGATGTTCTGTGTCTGTCTGTGCCCTGTGGTCTGCTCTCAGGGCGTTAACAATCATTTTGTGACAGCAAGAATCGCCTTGTGTTCACCGCCTGCTTTTGTAAGTGTATTTAATTGGTTTTTAAGAGTTATTAGGCTTTTGCTGATGATTATTTCACGTTGATCTCCAGAAAAGACGATGCTGGCAGAGAGGATCCCGGTGCCTTCCAGTCCTGTTCCGATAGCAACTATTGACCTGGTCCAGCAGCAGTCGGAAGATATCATGCCTCGGGCTGAGCCCAGGCTCCCTCTGAAGAAAACCAAGCACCAAGAGGAACAGGAGGACGTGAACAAGCCTGCCTGGGGGATCAGCTCTTCTCCTTGGGTCACCTTAGCTTATGCCATCTGCCAGATAAAAGAGCTGGTTAAGCTATCCAAAACCAGCCCAGCTCCCGAGAATCAGCCTTTGCAGGTAATATTCTAATACATAGAGAGTTCTTACATTAGCTGAATGATGAAGGGTAAAAAAAAAAAAAAAAAAAAAAAAACAAACAAAAAAAAAAACATTTTGTGGGATGCTCGAAAGACCTCAGTAGCTGGGTAAATCTGCTCATACCTCACAAGCATTCTCTGTCAGCTCATCATCAATTTGGAGCTGTAAAACAGTAATTGAAATACTGTAGCAGATAAAGCTGCAACCCTGATATATAGTGCAGTAGGAGTAGCTAGATTTTGTTTTATTGGCTCAGATGTACTTGAATTCCCTTTAAGCGTACATTTGTTTTTGTGTTATTTGGAATGTGTGTTTTATCCATTTAGGAAAATTAACAAGAAGATGAACGAACGTGAGTTAGGATGCACAGCCTCTCAGTAGAGGCTAAAATGGTGGGGGATTTTATTCGCTTTATTCACATGGAGATGGGAGCATCCGTGACTTAGCATGTCCGGTTCCTGGGGCCTCCTTGGCGCAGTTGAAGCATACTGGTTAAGCAAAGCAGGAAAATGCCCAGGTTTTAAGAACAGGATGGGCAGTGTTGAAACCATTATGTTAGCTTGCTGGAAAGAGCAGAGAGGTTTCCCCTTGTGCACCTGGTGCCTGTGAGCGCAGAAATGCAGTCCCTACAACTCCTGTCTTTGGAAGTGAGTAATCTGGGAGAGGACTGAATCAGCTGAGCATGGTGTGCAGGAATTTCACCTGAGCAGCTCTCTCCTGCCTCTTTCCTTTGTCTTTATTACTGGAAATACATTCAGAGGGACATTAGCTTTAGTTTTCCTTTGAGCTTTCCTGGGTCTCTAAACTGACTTGCAGGAAGAGCATGTGCCCCAGCTGTCTATTAATGAATCTCTAGTATCCGATGTCTTATCTGGAGTGACCTTGTTTAAACACACTAAGGAACTCTGGGTTTTTTGTTGTTGTTGTTTGTCTGCTTTTGTTTTTTTTTAATATATAGTGACGCTGAAAAGTAACACTATGATAAATCACTCTGCTTCCTAGTGGTAAGTGCCCTCGAGATGTTTGCTCTAGTATTAGCTGTACCGATTTAAAAGTCGGAGAAAAGCAGTGATAGAGAGTGCTGTGTAGCCATCAAGAAGAGGATGTTTTGCAGTCATGTCTTAAAACCACTCAGCTGCTTCCCTGAGAATTATTAAGTAGCCAAGAAGAATTTCTTGCCTGTTGGAGTTCATTGGTATCTTCAAAGTATATCATCTCATCTCCATCCTTTCGTTCCTGTAGCAATACAGTGCTGCTCTAAAAGTAGCTCTTGCTGATGTGCTAAACCTCACTGCACCACACTGTGCTGCTTCCTCCATTCCCGTTCTACAAAGGCAATTTCTTGTTCCCATTTCAGGTTTCCAAGAGCACAGACCTGCCCCAAAGCTCTTCTGTTTTCTCTTCACACAGTCATTTTAGGCTAGTAGTGAAATACTGAAACTAGAAAAAGTCTGCCCAGATCTGTCCCTAATTTTGTCTAATAAACCACCTTAAAATGTGCATGAAAATAATTAATCTCTAAGGAGGATTAGTGTACAGAAAATGGGATTAGTTACAGAGCTTGTGTCACTATGAAGGCTTGTTTTGCTCCTGGGGGTTGTAATTGGTGTTTGTGCCTAGATGTGCTCTCAGTTTCTCAGTGGGGCCTGGCTGAGCAGACTGGATGCAGGGCATCCTGCAGCGCTGCCCTGCGAGAGGCGGAGCAGCGTCGCGGGGAGAGAGGCATTGCTGAAGCAGGCAACGTGCAAGGAGCATCAAATACCCTTTACAGAATCCATGGGTCAAAATAACAATGATGTTTGAACGCTTTAAATGTCACTTTTTTCCCTTGAAACACAACTAATTTGTTTTTCGCATGCTTCTTGGGGGAGCGCAGTTAGGAAAAGAGATGGAAGGTAAGCCCTTGCCTGCTTGTTGTGAGCATCCTCTGGGTTTGAACGTGCTGCTTTGGTTTTGCTGCTTTCAGTTGACTTGCTGTGTAGTGGGCATTCAGCCTAAGTGCTTGGAGAAATGGCAGACCTGACTGAAGGCAGCTGGGGACGTGCGCGGGGGATAGTGCCGTGAGCGCTCGCACTCACTTTGTGCCCGCCATGCTCTCCTCTCTCTAGAACATCAGTGAGAATCGCGGTGCTTCGCCAGGCGGCTCCCCAGGACAACCCCAAAACGCGACAGATCCTGGGCGGTCCAGCTCAGCGCCAGCAGCAGCAGCGGATCCCCAAGCAGGGGACGGCCGTGTCAGGCCGGACCGTGACGCTCGGCCCGCCGCGGGAGGGCCCTGAGCGCCGCTCGTCTTACCCAAGCCAGTGCATGGAATTGTGCTTCTCATCTGGGAAACGCCGGAGTTAGAGCTCTAAAGTAGCACTGCCTTCATCTTAATGATCATCACATGATGCAGAGCAAGCTTGCAGCTGTATAAAGAATATGCATATGACCACACAGGGCAACAGGAGCTGGCAAGCTGAAAGTTTGGGAGGCTCCAGGGAAGTGGTGCAGTGGGATCTATCCATAGGAAAAATTCTTGGCTCCCTGGCTAAAGTTTAGTCAAACGGTAGGGGATTTCTTTGCAATCCGCAGAAAAGGGGCGTTCGCGTCTCACTTCCTCAGGCACAGTGTCTGACTTGGTCAGCTTTTTTTTTTTTTTTTTCCTTTTAATTTGTTCCTAAAACAAAGAGGCTTTTTAGGAGAGAAACTGAATTTCCCTGCGTAGTCTCTTAGAAAATATTAGACCCAATAAACGCAGGAACAGCCTGAAACTGTCCCTGTAAAGATTTCTCAGAAACAGAATAGCTTTAGCAAGCCTATCTTCATGTTGTGGTGATGGATTAAGTAAAATAGCCTGTGTGTTGAAGGAGTATTATTATGTTTGAGACACGGGCCTAGTCTGCGGAGCAGAGATACTGAGCTGGCATAGCAGTGAATCAAGAAGAGCTGCGGGAAGGGGTTCAGAGAAGGTAACCTCTGGGCTTGCAGATCTCAGCTGGGGCTTGCGCTTGTATTCGTGTAACTTTAGGTTGGGAGCTGTATCAAGACAATAATCTGATGAAGATTGCACAAGCTGAGATTGATCAAGGTTTTCAATGGACACACTAGCTTTAGTTTCTATTTAATCATCTATACAGTGATTTATTTAATGAAGTGTTGTTACTGTGGGTATTTATTTAAGAAAACCATAAGCTTTAAGTGCCTGGGGAAGATGGGAGGGCAGGGATGAGGTACCTATAAATCATAATGATTAGGATTTCAGGGGGGAATTGTCGATGCAAAAGTCAAGTAAGATGAGAAATTCTCAGGAGGAAGGAAATGTAGCTAAGCAGCAGTATTTTTGGAAAGCTGCTTTGCCCAATGTCAAGACACTGGAAGACTTTGGAATTACATTTGTCATGCTTTTAATTGTTCACTGTGGCAGCTCAGTTGCTGATGCCCAGTGTAAATTGCTGCTGAAAGGAGAATTCCTGGACTGGAGGTGGGAGCGCGCGGGGTTCTGGCCCACTGGCCCATGTTAGGAGCTCGATCCTGGGAGAAGCCGAGCGCTCCGCTTTTCCAGGAGTGGTCGGGAGTTGCTCAGCCCTCCTGGAAGCGGGGTGCCATGAGAGGCCTTCCTTGGGGCAGGGGCTGCTCTTGGCCCGTGCAGCCGGCACAGCGACTCGGGTGCAAGTGGCACCGGGGCACAGGGTGAGGGGGCCGCAGTTGGGATGGAAAAGGGATCCGAGTTTCACCCACGTGGAAATCCAGCCCGCCCGGGTGCGTGCAGGATCTCCCCTAGCTGTGCTTTAGCCGCGCTTTTATTGCAACCCCTGGGGCCCGGGACCAGCACCATAGAACACAAGACGAAACATCGATAACTAGCCACTAGTTATTTTTTTTGCACTTGAATTTAAATGTACTGTACTCACGTAAATCCTCATGACTTGTTTAAGTGTCCTTTAAAAGCAGAAATATATTTATTGTGTTTATATAGTCTGAGGGAGCAGTAGAAAGTGGAAGAGGTGAGAGGCCAGAAGGATGCCAAGGATCCTCAGCCAGGCCGTTGGCGGAGCTGGAGCTGCGTGGCGTTGCCGCAGCTTCTGCCGCCGAGGCCCTGCGTGAGCAGGGGAAGAGCTTGTACACCGTGTTTACACTTCAGAATTGTGTATTTGAAATGTCTGCTTTTTTTTGGAAATGTACAGTCATTCTGTGTTGCAAAATGGACGTGTACACCCAGGTTTTGATATTTGTGAAACTGTAAAAACGTTGTAAGAAATATAAAATATCCATAATGTATTTAATAGCATCAATCTGAACTTTTATTACATTTCCTCATTTTATGGCACCAGCAGTGAATCACCTAAACTGAAAATAATTAAATTATAATTACTTTTTGTAAGGTTCGCTCCATGAAGGACAGTGCATCTGGAACCTGGGAGCTACTGTCTCGCGTGGTGTTAGAAACTGTTCAGGTGATGAAAACTGCCTCTTGTGGGATGAGGTGAACCCAAGGGGTGCACACCGAAATGCATCATAAATGGCTTGATAGGTGAGTGGGCAAATCTGCTCAGGACATGAGTGAAAGTAAAAGCTGAGTTGAGTTCATCTCCTAGCAAACTATGAAGAAGAGGCTACTAAAGGCTGGTATGGAAATACTTCCATTTCTTTTTATTAATTAAATATATTAGCGCTAATGCACCTGCTCTATACAGCAGCACATCTGCCTGGAATTTAAGGGTAGGGAAATTCAATTTTTTTTTTTTTTTCACCATTTCAACTGCTTAACTTGTGTGCATACAAAAGTCCTGAAAAAGGGAAGTCTTAGGGAAAGTTGTTGCTGGTGCTGCTGCTGTTCCCATATGTGTAATAGACCTCAGTTGTAATCTTAGCAATTCGGCTGGTTGTGGTGAGGGTTGCTGCAAAGGGAGGATGAGCAAGGCAGGCTCCCGCAGGGACATACGTTGGAGGTGGAGGAGCTGCTCCAGTTTGAAGCCCCTGCCACGTCTGTCTGCCGTGATACGGACGCACACGAACACACGCAGCCGTGTGCTGGGCTCCTTTCTGCGAGGTGCTTGTTGCTCTGAGGAGAGGGAATACAGGAGCAGGGGGACCACAGTTTGAAAAAATACTTTTATTTAAAAATCCTGAATACAAAAGACAGTATCAAGTATGCTGCACCGTGAATGGAAATAAATACGCCATTCTAACCTTTTTAACCTGCTGTGAAACTATACACGTAACTGATCCTTCATTAAAGAAGAAACGCTTGTCTGATGGATAAGGCACCAGAATAATGTCTAGATTCTGTTCGCAGATGTTCTTGATGAACACTTTATGGCACTTAATTGTGTTTCATTAACTGCATAATTTCTGTGTATCACAGGAGCACCATGCAAGTAAACTTACTGTTGTTAAAGGCCTCAAATGACAGCAGTTGGATTTGGTGGGTTTTCTTTGGGAAATGCTTCAAGTGTTGAAACAAACCTGGGAGGATTTTTTTAAGGTCAGTATCAGCATTCCTAGCTCTCCACTACAGCATTTTTTTTTCTCAATATATTGCTATGCTTCTTTTGGATGAGCTTAGTAGTTGCTGTACTCTGGGTATTATTTTCCCATTCCTGGTAAATGACAGGTGTCGTAACTATGTAAAACTCAGGTTATGTCTTTTCTACTTCGGTGTAGGTGAACCTGTTCTAGGTGTTTTTTCTTTTTTTTTTTTTTAAAAAAAAAGGGGGGGAAGTTGGCAAAAGGAAGAGAGGCTGAAAAAAAAAAAAAAAAAAAACCTATTTTGTTTGGGCACACAGCCAAATAATACATCAAGATCATAGTTTACCTATTGTGTATAAGCTATGTATCAGTGCCAGGACAATCATCTGTAACGCAGTAAAACAAGAAGGTCCAGAGACATTGTGTGGGTTTAGGCTAGGACAAAATTTGATTCTCACCCTTGGCCTCAAATCCCATGATCAGCAGTCAAGCGAGTTAAGAAGCGTACTGTAAAAAAGTGCTTGCTTTAAAAAATGCAAGAAATAGTTTTAAAACCGACATTTCTGCAAGAATCCCCTTCTGGTTCAGGGATAGCTTTAGAGTATTTCATTTTCACAGTGGCAACACAGGCAAAGATGAACTAAATCTTCTTTCTGCTAATCTTTCACAGACACGTTGTTCCCTGGCATCCGTAAGAAAGCACCGGGAGTGAGTTCTCCGTCTCTACCCTCTCTTTCTAGGAAGAAGGTCCCCTTTTCTTAGGGTGTTTTCCAGAGCTCAGAACTCAGTACCATATGGAAATGGAATTTGTTCGTTTTCATCCTCAGCATCTCCTTCATCATAGATGGGGTTGGCTGCCTCACCCCACTCTGATTCTGCCCTTCCGTCAAAGAGCTGCTGCTCCAGGAAGTTGCTTCCAATGCCATATTCTTCCTCATGTGCCTTTGTTTCTGCAGGTGAGACATGAGGAGATCCCAGGACAAAATCCGCAAACCTGCCAGATTTTTTTTAAAGAGAAGTGATCAGTTAGGAAGCAAAATTACACTGTAAATGCAGAAAGTACTGCCAGGTTAAAAAAAGAAGGAAAAAAAAAAAAAAGAGGTTGTGGGGGCATACTCATGTACAGTGAAGTCATGGCATAAGATGGGGAGTCATATACAACAAATTAAATAGCAAAGGATGGCAACGACTCTGAACATGTCTGTCTGTCTTTTCCATTTTCATCTTTGTTTCTGTCTTCAGTCTTTTCTAAATAAGTAACTCTTCCAGAGCCATCTGAAAGGTCCTGTGACTAAGCAAGAAGATCTGGCTTTGATTTCTCACCTTGCTAGTGCCTGTGAGAAAATCCAGAGTAAGAAGCTAACCCCTTCCTCTACTTAGGTGTATGGTGCTTTAACCTTTAAAAATAAAATAAAATCCATAGTGTATTTGAGACAAAGGCTGCAGGAATTCAAGTAAGTTGACATTCTGCTAGTAAAAGCAAAAAGGGTGAGAACTCAACAGTCCCAAGTTCCTGTGCGATCACCTTGCTTCTGATGCCAAATATTCCAGGCAAGCTGAGGCAATATCTTGTGGAAGAATTCCTGCCTTTGGTGCATTTCGAGCTGCAGACTGGGAATTCTGCAGCTGCATCAGGTAGATACCACACTGGAGGTTTTGCAGAACAAAGCATGAATTTAACACGGTCTCTGCATTTCAACCTGCAATTAATCTTACTTTCAGTGGACAACTATTGAAAATACAGTCAGAGTGGCTGTATAATGGTTTCTGGCAAGTGCATGGAACAGACGGCGGTTCTGACACTTGGTAAGTGTTGACAGCATCAGAGAAATGTAAGAAAAAGGAAATGCAGTTCTATTCTGCACTTCTGGTAACTTACCAATAATTTACATTTTAGATTTAACATTTCTGTGAGATGATTCTGTCATCTCACTCTTCTTCACAGCATTGTTGGCTATATGGGGAACAGTGTTGAACTTGCTGTGTTTTCCAGGTTTGCCTAGTGTTGAACTATCTTCTCATAGTTAATGAAAGCTTGAAGATACTCAGATTTAAACCAGACCTCTGCCAGGTCTCCTCATTAATTTTGCATTTTTACTGTGAACAATTTGTAATAATATTCTTTAGTTAATGTTAACTAAATTTAAAATATGGCATTAAGTGATCTAACCAGAGAATATATGTCTCAATTGTTTGCTGGGTGTATATGGCATGTTTGTTTGTTTACAAGACTGCAGTTGAGCTATCATTTTGTGTCTTTCAAGAGCGCTACAGAATACAAGTACCATTTAGTTTAGTGGGAAATCTCTAAACCGTGGCAGGGAACCCATCTGTGTGTCCATCCAAGGAAGATGGAGCTTCTGAAACTAGTTTTAAATTCATATTGATTAAATGCCAAGCTCATGCGGCTGCTTAGAAATTGTGGCACTTGATTTGGGGGTAATGGCCAAGTCTTGCATGACAACGTGAAAATCCACTTCTAATACTTAAGTTTTGATATGGGAAAAAAAAGAAAGTACACGGTGGCTTTTTTTGGCTACATTTATCAGACTCTTCACAACTCTTTATTTGTCTTAAATTAGTCTCTTAAGCTTTAGTCTCTTAAATTAGTCTCTATATAGAGCAGCATCTCACTCTGCTGCTGTTTGTATTCTTAAATATTAGTTGATACTCTAAGCAATAGGTTTCCTTAGCTGTGCTGGCTTGCAGTTGCGAGCTTAATACTGCTAAGGTTTGAGCAAGTTATGATCAACCTGCTCCAGTTTCACAAAACATAAGGGTGTTTCTTCTCAAATTACAGAAATCCATTCTCCATCCAGGAGCCATTTCACTGGTTAGAGAGCTCCCAGGTCACTGGGTAGGAACTTGCAAAGGCATTACAGGAAGTGTATAAGGTTTGGGGAAAGCTGCCATTACTATGAATTAGCTTTGAGCATCTACAACCTCTCAAATTTATGGGCAGAGGGGAACAAAAATGGGGTATAATATCACCAGTGAGTAACATCTGGAGGGGTATGCCTGTGATCTGTAGCAGAATTACCCAAGTAGGTAAAGCGAATTCCCTAATAGTACATCAGATAAAGTTACCTGGAACAATGCTTGGATTAGTGTTGGGATCTGCTGTGTTAGTGACCATACAACGCAGCTCCTGTTTTGGAAAAGCCTGCTTTTCTTACCTGTGAGGGGACTGGAGTTTGGATACTGCTAGCCATGATGGGAAGTCAGGGTTCCTGCAGAAGGAACGTAGCTCCTCCAGAGCTCTGACCGTTTCTGTTTCACTTTGTTCTCTATATTCTTCTTCAGTAAGCCATCTAATCACTAACTGTTTTGATTTATAGTAGTTCTTCACTTTTCTGAAATGAAATGAAAACAATTAGTTTTCTATTAGTCTTCTAATTCTAAAGTCTTCTGGCATATATTTCTAATGCTACACATGCAATCCACCTGATTATGGCCCATCGTCTTTTTGTTATTAACATACATTAATCATGTTTTCCTTCTTAAGAAGAAAAGTCACACACTTGCATTAAAATTTTAGGATGAGGGCTCTAATGTTTATTAGCCTGTTTACTCTAGGTCTCACTCAAAACTGTATAATTCCACAGAAAGGTATCCAATGAGCTTCAAGGGAGTTTTAGATCAGGTCCTTTCTAAACAGTATTGTTTATGCATGGACTAAAACTCCATAAATAACAAACGAATGGCTGCTTGCTCAGCCATTTTTATGTGCAATATGCAAAATGTCTGTGCAGAGACACAAGCTGAATCAGAAGCCAGTTTGCATGTATAACTTCGAACACAAGCAATGATCTGAGTTGTTCATGATGTTTACTAGATTGCTTCCCTTAAATCTTGTTTTAAATTACACAACTGAGTAGTCTGAGGCCAAAATGTTTACAATCTGATGTTTTTTTAGCTGCTACATAGCAATGTATAATATAATTAGATATCAATTAGAAAGTGTGCCATGTTCTGTTCCCTTCTGTCGACTGCTTTCAATTTAAATGTTGTGATGAGTAAAGATAAGCAAGGGCTGGATGCCCATGAAAGTTTCAGCTCCTGCAAATAAAAACATCTGCTCAACCATCAGCATTCAGGTTCATTTCCCTGTAGGGCAAGAAGGAACTGCAGACAGCACTTGGGTCAACCAGCAAAGGTCTTGCAAGCTCCCTGTGATTCAGTCCTGATCTTAGAAACCACTAGATAAGCAAGAGTAATTCTTAGCTGTGTTGACACATCTGCTCCTCTGAACTATGCATCTTGGCCTCTACACATCTGTATGCAACTCTGTGTGTGTGTGTATATATATGTGTGTATATATACATACCCGCTTATATTTCTACATAATGTGCACCTCTGTGTAACTCTGTGCTCTGCACTTTGTATGTTGGCCATCTTGGGCTCAAAGTTTGGTGCTTCTGCTTAATGTTTTTAAAGGAGGGGGTTTAAAAAAAAAAAAAAAAAAAGGATTTTCCTGGTTTTGAAAATGCATCCTCATTCTCCCAAGAGAGATTTGTGGTGCCCTTATTTAAGTGCTTTAGGGCTCTACAATAGCATCAATTCACTGAAAAGGAAAAGGGGTCCGTGTGAGGAATCAGCGTAAAAAAATGTTCTGATTACCCAGTCTTGCTGATTGCAAGGTCAGTTGAGCCTGCTTACACCAGGTAAGCACTGCATCTATATGCTGCTCTTGGAACAGTTTGTATTTTTCAGCTGGTGGGGCATGGGGGTGGGGGGGAGTCTTCTACAAATGACAAACACTACCTAATCTCCAAGAACCATCAGTGTTTAACATCTAATTCCTAGATGATGGGACATGGTTTTATCCTCCAAGATTCAGTATGAGATACCTGCAAATTCTCTCTCACAATGCATGAAACGAAGATGGAAGTGTTGCAGTCCAATCAGTCAAAAATGTGTTGGTAACCATATGCTGCAGACTAGAAGGTGTTACATTTGTACTTAAGAGCTGTTAAGACTTAACAGTCACGTTTTTCCACAAAGCAAAATTCATGCTTGAAACCAACAAAAATAATTAAATTCTGTATCTTATGAATTTAAACGCCTCCTAACATAGCTTTACACTTGCTAAAAATGTGAACTAGCACTAGAAATTCAGAAATCATCATCAAAATGTAGGGTTTTTTTTTCATTATTGACCTCTTCTATCTCCTGGTGACAGGGGGATTTGGACATTTGCAAATTCATACAAACCTGCCAATGTGACAAGCAGCACCGAGGGGATAACAGAAGCCTTTTGAACAGAGGCTCACTGCTATGATTGTATATGCAACTTGAGGTATGGTGACACCACAGTAGATGAAAGCAAAGGCTGTTAATTGTAGTGTCCATGTGAAGAAGGTTATGCTTACTTCACTGGTAAGTGGTCCATGCTGATAGCACGTGGCAAAGCTTATACTTCCAACGGTCAAAAAATACCCTGCAGAAACAGGAAAAAATGACACAGAGAAAAAGATGCAAAGATCCTCCATATGCTTCAGTAGGTTGGTTGACAAAGTCTAGCTTGTTGGTTTTTGTGTTGCCCTATAGGTACCTGAGCTGTTACATGCCCTTTGTGTTTCAACTACATACAAGTTCATAAGGTCATCTGTGAACAGCCTTTACCTAATGCTGCAAGAGCCGCACCAGAACCCCCTCCTGGGAGATGGCTGAGGCAGGTGCCAAATCAGCAGGTTTGTTGGCCCCTGCAGCCACATCCAGTTATCGGCTTGTGCATCCGCATTTCCCAGTGCCAGCAAAACGCAGGCCTGCACAGCTATCGTTTTGTTGTCATGGGGAGAGTATGCAATGACAAATTAATGAAGAAATAATACCGGCAAAATTTGCTTTTAAAGTTGCTACTGGCTCGCTATATTTAATACAGACTAAATTATCATGTCAGTGGATTAGGAGCCTTCAGAATATTCTAGCATCTCTGGCTCAGGAGGAAAATAATAATAAATAAGAGTCACTTGCCATTCTTTATGGGCAGGTATCAATCTTACCACTAAATCAACACAAAATTTGCAGTGCATTTTCTGATTTTTCTGATCAGTCTCTTACCCAACAGGTAGTTTCTGTGTTCAGACCACAACCACTGCATATTCTCTTTAAAACAGTAAAGCAAATACAGTGAGGACATCCAGCAGCCACTCATTAAAATCCAAAAGGTACTTTGCTGGAGGGAAAAAAAAAAGAAAAAGAAAAAGAAATGCTTCAGACAGACAGTTACTTATATGATGGTAGCATCGAAAATCTTAGTCAGAATTAGGAGCACTGTTGTGTAAGGGAATTCCCAGGCAAAGACAAGCATGGTATTTGGCAGAGCTACCAGGCTTATGATCAGTATTACGACTTCCACTACTCAGTGCTACAACTGAACAGTGCCAAGGCTACGTGGGGCAGCTGCATTTCTGTGTTTGTGTGCATGTCCCAGAGTCATGCTATGAGCTTGTTATGTCCTTTTGCAGTGTACTTCCAATTAATATATCTCAGAAATATGACAACAATGCACAGGGATAAGTAGTTTGTGTGAAATTAAGGGAAAGTTGTTGAGCAGAATTTGGTGAAAATGAGATAATTTGTCTCAATTGCTGCTAAAGCTATGGTCTGAGTAAACTTAGCTGCAGCCTAATAAAAACAATTCAGGTTTCAGAATAAACATTTCTTGTGCATCAACAGTCTCCAATTCATTTTAAATAGGGAGCAACTTAATTAGAGCTCAATTCTGACCTGATTATATTTCCTTGATACAAGCAATCCTGCACCCACTTCAATGGAATTACTGGCTACAAAATTAGAGCAAAAGGTCAGAATCTGAATCTAGGTTCTTTACTTCCTATATCATGATGATTATTATTATTTTGTTTTACAAATGTAGATTTACCCTTGGAATAAATCTTTTAAGCGTCAACAGGAGAAAAACTAGCAGAGCAAGAACACCCAGTACTATTCCAGAAAGGTAAAAGAACCTGGGGCTTCTGTAAAAGAACAAGAGAGAATACCATAAGAAGTTTTTACTAAATTGCAATTGATTACAAATGCCACATTTTAAAGACAGCAATGGTCTTTAGTAAGAATACAACTGTAAATTAGAGCTTGCTGTAATACAGTTAACAGGTCCTGTATAGACTTTAAACTCATGTAAGAAAAATTTCAAAAGAATATCAAAAGGTCACTGGAGTGTTAAAGTCTCAGGCTAGAAGTTTGTCACCTTAATGCTCACATTGTTTCTGCTTTTAGTGAATATCTACTTTCTATTCATTTTGTTTCCCTATATATACAGGTACAGTTTTGCATTGCAAGACAAGTTTTTAAGTTTTAATTTAAAATGTTCTATTTTTTTCATACAATTGTTTGCATAAAATCTGACTTATATAACACAGAGTCTGCACTATAAAACCTACAGCTGCACTGCTTTTTTTAAAATATGTCACATGACAATTAACTTCTGACTCATTTTGCTTTGAAGTCCTGGGTCAAGTATTCTGTTAGAGTAAGAAGTAAGATGTACATTAAAAGAACAATCAGAAAAGGCTGTCAACAGGTGGAGGCAGACCATGCCCCACATGACCTCATCCTAAGCATTTCTCCTTGTAGGAATGCATCATTTATACATGAATGGTATGGAGAAGTTTAAACATACGTTTATTTTCTGTATTTCATAGTCCTAAAGAACAGCTGCTTGGCATCTTTAGCTTAGATAACAGACCAAAGATGCAGAGATATCAGGAAAGAAGGTCGAAATGCAGGGGCTTGTACTCACCTGCTAAGACTGTTTGCAAAATGGAACAGAAAAATTCCAGCTACAAACAAAAACAAGATCTTTCCATCTAGCACTAAAAAAAGGAAAACAAAAATGGATTTTAGGCTAATTCAATCTGAAATGATGATTTTATCTGTATTAACAGAAGAGTCCAAGCTTTTTTCATAGGAAGTAGCATTCTTTAATACTTGCAATATCAAACTATTTGTAATCGAAACTGAAATCATTATTACTTACTTTTCTGTTTTACGCTCACCATGTATGGTTCTGTCTTGAAGGGCTGTATTTTGAAACAAATATCCTCTCCATATTGTTTTATGTTTATGAACGTTTCTGTAGATGTCTCTGGTTGCCGAAAGATTTGAATGGCACATGCAGCAAACTCAAAAACTGTTTCTGAACTACGACAGTTGACTTTGTCTGAAATAGGCACAAACTTGAATTTTTCTGTGCTGTTAATTTTTATCTAAAATTAAACAATAACAAAATACCTGTAAGAAGTGGCGCAGAACCACTGGCATTTTTTCTTTCTGAAAAACATAACATAGACCTCATACATATCATAATGAAAGTAAGTACAGAGCTAGAGAATAAAATGTTAGTTCAATTCTTTGTTTAATCCTGTTATGTACAATTTGGACCTTAAAAGGTAATTCAGAGAACTCACAGTGAACAAAGTTCTAAAGGACTCAATCCATTTAAAGGCTCTAGGGCTCTGGTTTCACCCGTGACATTTGCCCACCCACAAATTTCTAACAAAAATGATAACTTGACTGACCACTTTCCTTCATTTGTTCCTTTGGAAAGACCACGCTCTTTCCCATGCTGCTCCTGAACCATAAGAAACAAATTGCTTTTCTCAAAGAAAAGAACACAATCTTCATGTTAGGGACAGAAGGAGGAAAAGGAAAATGGATTTTTTTAAAACAAAAAATAAGCATTAAGGATGTTCCTGTTCTGTCTTCTGGAATTGCTTTTTGGTGCTCTCCCCACAACAGTAATAGGATTGTTCAGTCTACAATCTGCTGCCGTGCACAAAACTTCTCTGGCATGTTCCTACAGAAGAAAAATTCTGGAAACAGATAAAAAGATGTTCCAAATCCTTCTATATCGGATCCGATTCCTCCAAAAGACATGAAGCAAAACTATTTCCTTCCTTTGTCCAGTGACATACTTCCCAGAAAAAAAAAGAGCCAACCAGACACTCAACCTGCTCCTTACCCTGCCATTACTTTGAGAATCTGTGTTTCAAGCCTAATGTCCTAAACTTGTTTCTTATAAGACCCTCTGCTGCTCTGGAAAGTAGAAATATAATGCTACTGCTGGTTTTACTAGTCACAATCTGATACACCTTTTGTTCCTATGCTGTGGCCTGAAATGCTATAAGTGAACCCCACAGCTGTATTTTATTCTGAGATTTAAACAATTAAGAGGTTTGGTGATAAGCAAAAGCATTTGTTACAGAGGTTAACAATTTTATAGATGTTTATCAGTAGAAAAGCTGTGTAACAGAATAATATGCAACATGAGGTAGATGTTTGGCCTTTTACTATAATGCTATAGCCTGGCTGACATTCCTGTGAGAGATACCCCAAACCTCCACTGCACACAAAGTAAAGAGCACCGTACTAAAATGTAGTTTTATCATGGTCTTACCTATATGTCATTCAGACTAATCATTATACTCAGAAATAGAACTTTGATCTTGCTAACAGATCAGATACTCCGCTGAGGAAAGATCTGCACATGGGAATGATCCCCAAAGCTGCCTCTTACCTGAACAGTTGACCACACATATTGTAGGTGCATGGTTCTGTGTTGCACATAACAGTAACAGTTTTCATCCAGTTCCTGGATGACATATCTTTCTTCCAGAAGGCTACAGTTTCCAGCTAGTGAGAAGGAAAAGTTCACTTTAAGTACACAAATATATAGCCTTCCTCCTTTTTTGCCTCTTTCCCCTAATTTTTGATGTATGATGAGGGACTCGCAAGCAATTTGCAGATAATGTAACATAAAAGCTATGCTACAAGAATACAGTTTAGATGAAAATCCATATTAGAATTTTAATCAAGTAATTTAGGCTCCAAAGTAAACTGCGGCACCTTGGAAAAGATTAATAGGGTAGTATTTTTAAAAAAATGTGTTACAAAGCATGGCAATTATGAAAGTGTTTTGATGGCACTGGAATAGGGCTTCTGGGCCAAACTTACTGCTGACATGAGCGAGTGTAACTGCACTGCATTTGGTGCTTATACCAATGGGAGTGTAAGCAAGGAAACACGCTTATATATTAAAATAATCATTAGCCCATGGCATTACTGCTGACTGCAGAAATCTCATAGTTAACTCCCTCAGAAATGTTCAGAGTGTTAAATAACATAACTCTTCTTTCAAAAACAATCTGTCCTTATAGAATCATCCTTCCTGACACCATCTAGCCATAACACATAAAAAGGAGATAGAACCAATAATTTGCCAAAAGTCATTTAATTAGGACTGCTAATTGGTGTAACTCTCCTGAAATATTAGTGACCCCCTATGACTTTCAGAATTGCATTGCACCTCAGAACAGGAATGCACCTAAAAGATTTATGGGACAAATTTTTAAGAACATACATTCCAAACCATACATGTATAAAGTATAGCCTGCAGTGCATTACATCAGTGTTCCAGGAACATAACTAAAGAGCAGAGGAAATGAATACAGATGTGAAAGGAGCGAATCATCTGGCTCACTGAACAGGAAAAGTAGGTCTAAGCCAGACTCACCCATAACTGCTAAAACACTGTCACACACTCCAAACAGCAAAATCGGTATGTGCAAAACAGACTTAACCTGGCTGGGGAATACTGGTTGCAAGTAAAAACCTGCCCTGACTTCACAAGGAAGCTAAGCTGAGCTTGAATTATTTTTCAATGGATTTAATTAAACCAATGAAAAAGTATTTATATGGATATTCTTAACTCAGTTTGCTAAATGATTCTAAAATCAGAATTTCCAGTGTATACAAATGATCTTTTTAAATTAATTTGGTTTAAAATTATGATTTGGACACTTCTTTCATGAAAATTAAACATACAATGAATCCTCATCCATACTGAAGCCAGTGGGAGCTCAATACTTTCAGACAAAGGCTGGCTCTCCCAAACTAACAGCAAGGCCTGAGAGCAACGTACATCACACATCACAGTTTCACATGACAACGCATAGACCAAGCTCTGCAACTGAAGCAACCCAAAGAAATGTTTGTTCCTGGGGCATTTGATGCCATTTCATATTTTTTTTTTCTCCAGTTCAGTCACAAGCTTTCTCACATCTACCCATCTCACCAAGTTATCCTGAGGAAAGTTATTACAGTAACTAATGACAACGCTAGAGATAGTAGAATAGCTATCAGGGGATCTCCAGGACATGTTTGATGAAATTGATGACTAGAAGGGAAAAAAAAATCAAAAACAACAACAACAACAAAACACCCGTTACATTTACTAGATAGATCTTTACCCAATATGTATTTATTTCAAATTATGCAGGCCGACTGTCCCAGGCATGACAGCCACACGGGCTATAGCAGCACACGGAGCAACACCTTCGGGTTCTGCCTTAATAGCAGAGTAGCCGTGGCTGAAAATATCTTGCCCCGAAGCTGCAGGGGTGAATTACTCGCATATTTATGGGAAGCTGTAATCCGCATCCTTTTTATACCAATAGAGAGGATGGCATCGTTCGGGGAGGGGAGCAGGTACGGAAGGAACTTGAGGAAAC